TTTCTGTATTTTGTTTTTTTATTTTTTTTATTTCTTTTTGTTTTTTTCCTTCTCTTTTTTCTTTTTCTTTTTCATCTTTTTCTTCTGCTCCTCCTTTTGCCTTCGCTGCATTTCTCTTCTTCTTTAGGAGTGCCGCCTGCAGCACAGAAAAAAGTTTATTATAAAACACAATTTCATAAAGAAAAGGATTTATTATATACATATATATATATATATATATATATATATATATATAGATGAAAAAGAACAGAAAAAAAACAAAAAAAAAACAAAAAAAATGAGTTTTATTTTAGCTTACCATTCGCTTTCTGCGTTCTTCATTCTTTTTTTTAATTTTTTCTGTTCTTGCCTTTGATTTGCCTCCTCTGTATTCAATAAAAGAAACAAAATAAATAAAATAAATAAAATAAATAAAACAAATAAAATAAATAAAATAAAAAAAAAAATAAAATAAATTAAAAAAATATTTTAAAAATAAAAATAAAAATGCAGGAGAAATGCTACAGGCCGACATGAAATTCAGAAAAAAATCAAAATAAATAAAATAAATAAATTTTAATAAATTATTTTTAATTAAATAAATTAAAATAAATAAATATAAATTAATTATTTAATTAATTTATTTATTTATTTTCTGCTTACCCGCCAGCTGTAAGCTCAACGCGGATCCTCCTATCATTGAGGGTTCTTCCGTCGTAATTAAGAGCGATCTGCATGCAAAAAATGTGTATTTTTATGTTTTTATATTAAAAATAAATAAATAAATAAATAAATATTAAAATTTTAAAAAAAAAACGAAAAAAAAAGATGTATTTTCTCTCGGTTACCTGCAATGCTTCTTTGTTTGTAAATTCAACAAAACCACACCCTTTTGGTTTTTTTGTGTTTTTGTCCGTCAGAAGCCGAATATCTTTTATAAATAACTCTAAAAATAAAAATAAAAATAAAAATAAAATAAAAAATAAAAAAAAAATAAAAAACTATAAACCCTAAACCCTCATTTTTTTCTGTTTTCGGTGGCGACAGAGGCAGTTCTGTTTGTTATGGAAGTAAAAAGAAAGAGAAAAAGAAAAATAAATAAATATATCAGAAAATAAAATAATAAATTAAATAAAAATAATAAAATAATTAAAATTAAATTAATATAAACTGTATTGCCGATCTTAAACAACAAAAAACGCAAAAACAAAAAGAAACAACATGTTCAAACAAAAAAACAAAAAAACAAAAAAAAAAAAACAAAAAAAAAATAAATTTTTAATATAAATTAAACTTACGCAGCTTGCGGCCAAAGAAAAGACGAATATCTGCAGCAGCAGCAGAAAGAGGCAAATTACCAACAAAGAGAACAAAGAGAGAACGCTGCAGCAGCACAAAACAAAATAATAAAATAAATAAATAAATTAATTAAATAAATAAATAAATAAATAAAATAAATAAATTAAATAAGTGATAGAGAAAGGAGAAAGAAAGGACAGCTAGCTGACGAGAAAAGAAAAAAAAAACAGATGATGCTGCAGCAGCAGCAAAAAGAAAAAAAAAACAAAATAAATAAAAATAAAATAAATAAAATTAAAATAAATAAAAATAAAATAAATAAAAAAAGGAATATAAACAAGCGAAATAAAACAACACAAAAAGGAAAAACAAACAAAAAATAAAACAAACAAACAAACAAACAAAACAAAGAAACAAACAAATTAATAAAACAAACAAAACCAAAAACAAAAACAAACAAACAAAAAAAAACAAAAAAGAAAAACAAAAAGAATAAAACAACTCAGGTGTATGTACACCCCACCCCCCCCATATGCATGCATACAGATTTCTTTTGATCTGCTGCTGCCGTCTGCACAGAACCCTTGCTGCTTGCCTCCAACTGTTGCTGCTGCTGCTGCTGCTGCTGCTGCTGCAGTTCGTGCTGCTGCTGCTGCTGCTCTTGCTGCTGCTGCTGCTGCTGCTGCTGCTTCTTGGATTTCTTTGTTTGACGCTGCGCCCGCAGCGCCGATTTCAGCAGCTGCAGCGAGCGCTTCATCTTGCAGCAGCAGCAGCTGTGCTGCAGAGGTTATTCTTTGTGCTATCCAGCAGCAGCAGCAGCAACAGCCTTT